TACATGTTATCTACTGTTAGGTACATGTTAAACTACTGTTAGGTACATGTTAAGTACTGTTAGGTACATGTTATCTACTGTTAGGTACATGTTATCTACTGTTAGGTACATGTTAACTACTGTTAGGTACATGTTATCTACTATTAGGTACATGTTATCTACTGTTAGGTACATGTTATCTACTGTTAGGTACATGTTATCTACTATTAGGTACATGTTATCTACTGTTAGGTACATGTTAACTACTGTTAGGTACATGTTAACTACTGTTAGGTACATGTTATCTACTATTAGGTACATGTTAAGTACATGTTATCTACTGTTAGGTACATGTTATCTACTATTAGGTACATGTTATCTACTGTTAGGTACATGTTAAGTACATGTTATCTACTGTTAGGTACATGTTAAGTACTGTTAGGTACATGTTAACTACTGTTAGGTACATGTTAAGTACATGTTATCTACTGTTAGGTACATGTTAAGTACTGTTAGGTACATGTTATCTACTGTTAGGTACATGTTAACTACTGTTAGGTACATGTTATCTACTGTTAGGTACATGTTAACTACTGTTAGGTACATGTTATCTACTGTTAGGTACATGTTATCTACTATTAGGTACATGTTAAGTACATGTTATCTACTGTTAGGTACATGTTATCTACTGTTAGGTACATGTTATCTACTATTAGGTACATGTTAAGTACATGTTATCTACTGTTAGGTACATGTTATCTACTGTTAGGTACATGTTATCTACTGTTAGGTACATGTTATCTACTGTTAGGTACATGTTAAGTACATGTTATCTACTGTTAGGTACATGTTATCTACTGTTAGGTACATGTTATCTACTGTTAGGTACATGTTATCTACTGTTAGGTACATGTTATCTACTGTTAGGTACATGTTATCTACTATTAGGTACATGTTATCTACTGTTAGGTACATGTTAAGTACTGTTAGGTACATGTTATCTACTGTTAGGTACATGTTAAGTACTGTTAGGTACATGTTATCTACTGTTAGGTACATGTTAAGTACTGTTAGGTACATGTTATCTACTATTAGGTACATGTTATCTACTGTTAGGTACATGTTATCTACTGTTAGGTACATGTTAAGTACTGTTAGGTACATGTTAAGTACTGTTAGGTACATGTTATCTACTATTAGGTACATGTTATCTACTGTTAGGTACATGTTAAGTACATGTTATCTACTGTTAGGTACATGTTAAGTACTGTTAGGTACATGTTATCTACTATTAGGTACATGTTATCTACTGTTAGGTACATGTTAAGTACATGTTATCTACTGTTAGGTACATGTTAAGTACTGTTAGGTACATGTTATCTACTGTTAGGTACATGTTAAGTACATGTTATCTACTGTTAGGTACATGTTAAGTACTGTTAGGTACATGTTATCTACTATTAGGTACATGTTATCTACTGTTAGGTACATGTTAAGTACATGTTATCTACTGTTAGGTACATATTAACTACTGTTAGGTACATATTATCTACTATTAGGTACATGTTAAACTACTGTTAGGTACATGTTATCTACTGTTAGGTACATGTTAAACTACTGTTAGGTACATGTTAAGTACTGTTAGGTACATGTTATCTACTGTTAGGTACATGTTATCTACTGTTAGGTACATGTTAACTACTGTTAGGTACATGTTATCTACTATTAGGTACATGTTATCTACTGTTAGGTACATGTTATCTACTGTTAGGTACATGTTATCTACTATTAGGTACATGTTATCTACTGTTAGGTACATGTTATCTACTGTAAGGTACATGTTATCTACTATTAGGTACATGTTATCTACTGTTAGGTACATGTTAAGTACATGTTATCTACTGTTAGGTACATGTTAAGTACTGTTAGGTACATGTTAACTACTGTTAGGTACATGTTAAGTACATGTTATCTACTGTTAGGTACATGTTAAGTACTGTTAGGTACATGTTATCTACTGTTAGGTACATGTTAACTACTGTTAGGTACATGTTATCTACTGTTAGGTACATGTTAACTACTGTTATGTACATGTTATTTACTGTTAGGTACATGTTAAGTACATGTTATCTACTGTTAGGTACATGTTAAGTACTGTTAGGTACATATTATCTACTGTTAGGTACATGTTATCTACTGTTAGGTACATGTTATCTACTATTAGGTACATGTTAAGTACATGTTATCTACTGTTAGGTACATGTTATCTACTGTTAGGTACATGTTATCTACTATTAGGTACATGTTAAGTACATGTTATCTACTGTTAGGTACATGTTATCTACTGTTAGGTACATGTTATCTACTGTTAGGTACATGTTATCTACTATTAGGTACATGTTATCTACTGTTAGGTACATGTTAAGTACATGTTATCTACTGTTAGGTACATGTTATCTACTGTTAGGTACATGTTATCTACTGTTAGGTACATGTTATCTACTGTTAGGTACATGTTATCTACTGTTAGGTACATGTTATCTACTGTTAGGTACATGTTATCTACTGTTAGGTACATGTTATCTACTATTAGGTACATGTTATCTACTGTTAGGTACATGTTAAGTACATGTTATCTACTGTTAGGTACATGTTATCTACTGTTAGGTACATGTTATCTACTGTTAGGTACATGTTATCTACTGTTTAGGTACATGTTATCTACTGTTAGGTACATGTTATCTACTGTTAGGTACATGTTATCTACTGTTAGGTACATGTTATCTACTATTAGGTACATGTTATCTACTGTTAGGTACATGTTAAGTACTGTTAGGTACATGTTATCTACTGTTAGGTACATGTTAAGTACTGTTAGGTACATGTTATCTACTATTAGGTACATGTTATCTACTGTTAGGTACATGTTAAGTACTGTTAGGTACATGTTATCTACTGTTAGGTACATGTTAAGTACTGTTAGGTACATGTTAAGTACTGTTAGGTACATGTTATCTACTATTAGGTACATGTTATCTACTGTTAGGTACATGTTAAGTACATGTTATCTACTGTTACTGTTAGGTACATGTTATCTACTGTTAGGTACATGTTATCTACTATTAGGTACATGTTATCTACTGTTAGGTACATGTTATCTACTGTTAGGTACATGTTATCTACTGTTAGGTACATGTTAACTACTGTTAGGTACATGTTAAGTACTGTTAGGTACATGTTATCTACTATTAGGTACATGTTATCTACTGTTAGGTACATGTTAAGTACTGTTAGGTACATGTTAAGTACTGTTAGGTACATGTTATCTACTATTAGGTACATGTTATCTACTATTAGGTACATGTTAAGTACTGTTAGGTACATGTTAAGTACTGTTAGGTACATGTTAAGTACTGTTAGGTACATGTTATCTACTATTAGGTACATGTTATCTACTGTTAGGTACATGTTAAGTACATGTTATCTACTGTTAGGTACATGTTAAGTACTGTTAGGTACATGTTATCTACTGTTAGGTACATGTTATCTACTGTTAGGTACATGTTATCTACTGTTAGGTACATATTAACTACTGTTAGGTACATGTTAAGTACTGTTAGGTACATGTTATCTACTATTAGGTACATGTTAAGTACTGTTAGGTACATGTTATCTACTGTTAGGTACATGTTATCTACTATTAGGTACATGTTATCTACTGTTAGGTACATGTTATCTACTGTTAGGTACATGTTATCTACTATTAGGTACATGTTATCTACTGTTAGGTACATGTTAAGTACTGTTAGGTACATGTTATCTACTATTAGGTACATGTTATCTACTGTTAGGTACATGTTAAGTACTGTTAGGTACATGTTAAGTACTGTTAGGTACATGTTATCTACTATTAGGTACATGTTATCTACTGTTAGGTACATGTTAAGTACTGTTAGGTACATGTTAAGTACTGTTAGGTACATGTTATCTACTGTTAGGTACATGTTAAGTACTGTTAGGTACATGTTAAGTACTGTTAGGTACATGTATCTACTGTTAGCATGTTATCTACTGTTAGGTACATGTTTCTATGTTAGGTCATGTTATCTACTGTTAGGTACATGTTATCTACTGTTAGGTACATGTTATCTACTGTTAGGTACATGTTAAGTACTGCTAGGTACATGTTAAGTACTGTTAGGTACATGTTATCTACTGTTAGGTACATGTTAAGTACTGTTAGGTACATGTTATCTACTGTTAGGTACATGTTAAGTACATGTGATCTACATGTTAGGTACATGTTAGTACATGTTAGGTACATGTTATCTACTGTTAGGTACATGTTAAGTACTGTTAGGTACATGTTATCTACTGTTAGGTACATGTTAAGTACTGTTAGGTACATGTTATCTACTGTTAGGTACATGTTAAGTACTGTTAGGTACATGTTATCTACTATTAGGTACATGTTATCTACTGTTAGGTACATGTTAAACTACTGTCAATCAAACACGTCCTGCTTCTGAGACACATTTTAAGTACAGACATCCATAAAAGTAGAAACGTGACAATGTTGTTGGTCAAACCGTTTTATCAAGAAAGCAAGCAATACAATGCTACAGTACTTACATGTTGTATTGACAGTAATGGAGGCAACAATGCACAACTACAGAGAAATTGTCATGTACAAAGCTTAGAAATATTTCAAATGTAACTACAAAATGGATGATTATACAATTGGTCTCATATGTGGCTTGAGTCCAGTATATCTCTGCTCAAACACATACGTACGTGTGCATGTTGAGGATGGTAAGTGAGTACCAGTCAGGAAGTGAAGCAGGGGCAGGACTGGGATGGTTGAGTATACAGTATAGTATATATATCTCCCCCCCCCCCCCCCCCCATACGTATGTGTAAGATAGAGGGGTTGATGCAGGAAGTGTACCAGGGACATGGTGACCGTCTCCAGAGAGAGGAAGCTGTAGCCGTCCCTGTCCCCTTCAGTCAGTTCCTGGTTCCTAGTTCCTGGTTCCCTGCAGGGTGTCTATGAGGATCTTGTTGTACTCTGCCAGCTGCCTGGAGACAGTCTTCACCAGCGGACGGTAGTCACTCTCCATACCCTTAGAGGCGATGACTGGAGGTGTAGGAGTCAAGAAACGTTGGTTTGTCCAACATGTCCCCCAGTTGAGATATTACATCTACCATTCATATCCCCCAGTGGAGATATTACATCTACCATTCATGTCCCCCAGTGGAGATATTACATCTACCACTCTATCTGTCAGTCCTGTCATGTATAGATACAGGAGGTGTGAATGACAAAGACCAAATGACTGATTACTTGATAGTGTCAAATCAAAACCACTCTGGTCAAAAGCAAAAAAGGATACACTCTTTCATGACAAAGTTGTTCTGCTCATGGTGTTGCCACTTCCTCTCCAGATTGGTCAGCTGAAAACCAACAGAAAACAGCGGTTGGTTGAGAGTCAAAACAGGCAAGAAACGCTCAAAGAATCTTCAACCTCCAAATGTACTATGACATTATGAGGTGTCATTTAAAAAGCAATAGACAGGCCACATCAAGTTAGCCTGGAAACTACTATGGTCATTGGCTAATAGCCTAAACAGACCAGGGACCAGGCTAACCGTAATACTAGTCAGTTGTCAGTATCCCCTCTGTACCTGAGCATGTGTCTCATTCTCCTGTAGCTGCGTCTTCAGAGCTTCATACACCTCATTCATCTTCTGCATGACCTTCTGAAAGCCGTCTCTCCTCTGGGCCAGGGATACTCTGTCCTCCTGCAGCTTCTATAGGACAATAGACAACAACCTAGATGACCTACCATTCAATCATTCATCCATCCATTCATCCATCCATTCATCCATCCATCCATCCATCCATCCATCCATCCATCCATCCATCCATCCATCCATCCATCCATCCATTCATTCATTCATTCATTCATTCATTCATTCATTCATTCATTCATCCATCCATTTATCCATCCATCCATCCATCCATCCATCCATCCATCCATCCATCCATCCATCCATCCATTCATTTAACACTTGTTCCAGTGTTAGTAGAGCTACCACAGCATATCCTCAGCTCAGATACTGAATAGCCGTATGTTTCAGATATACAGCTCAGATACTGAATAGCCGTATGTTTCAGATATACAGCTCAGATACTGAATAGCCGTATGTTTCAGATATACAGCTCAGATCCTGAATAGCCGTATGTTTCAGATATACAGCTCAGATACTGAATAGCCGTATGTTTCAGATATACAGCTCAGATACTGAATAGCCGTATGTATACAGCTCAGATACTGAATAGCCGTATGTTCAGTATACAGCTCAGATACTGAATAGCCGTATGTTGATACAGTATACTATACCGATCAGATTCCAACTGAATAGCCGTATGTTTCAGATATACAGCTCAGATACTGAATAGCCGTATGTTTCAGATATACAGCTCAGATACTGAATAGCCGTATGTTTCAGATATACAGCTCAGATACTGAATAGCCGTATGTTTCAGATATCAGCTCAGATACTGAATAGCCGTATGTTCAGATATACAGCTCAGTACTGAATAGCCGTATGTTGATACAGCTCAGATACTGAATAGCCAGTCAGTATACAGCTCAGATACGAATAGCCGTATGTTTCAATATACAGTCAGATTACTGAATAGCCGTATGTTCGATATACAGCTCAGATACTGAATAGCCGTTGTTTCAGATATCAGCTCAGATCCTGATAGCCTATGTTTCAGATATACAGCTCAGATCTGAATAGCCGTATTTCAGATATACAGCTCAGATACTGAATAGCCGTATGTTCAGATTAAGCTCGATACTGAATAGCCGTATGTTCATATACAGCTCAGATACTGAATAGCCGTATGTTTCAGATATACAGCTCAGATACTGAATAGCCGTATGTTTCAGATATACAGCTCAGATACTGAATAGCCGTATGTTTCAGATATACAGCTCAGATCTGAATAGCCGTATGTTTCAGATATACAGCTCAGATACTGAATAGCCGTATGTTTCAGATATACAGCTCAGATACTGAATAGCCGTATGTTTCAGATACAGCTCAGATACTGAATAGCCGTAGTTTCAGATATACAGCTCAGATACTGAATAGCCGTATGTTCGATATACAGCTCAGATACTGAATAGCCGTATGTTTCAGATATACAGCTCAGATACTGAATAGCCGTATGTTTCAGATATACAGCTCAGATCTGAATAGCCGTATGTTTCAGATATACAGCTCAGATACTGAATAGCCGTATGTTCAGATATACAGCTCAGATACTGAATAGCCGTATGTTTCAGATATACAGCTCAGATACTGAATAGCCGTATGTTTCAGATATACAGCTCAGATACTGAATAGCCGTATGTTTCAGATATACAGCTCAGATACTGAATAGCCGTATGTTTCAGATATACAGCTCAGATACTGAATAGCCGTATGTTTCAGATATACAGCTCAGATACTGAATGCCGTATGTTCAGTATACGCTAGATACGATGCGTATTTTCAGATATACAGCTCAGATCTGAATAGCCGTATGTTTCAGATATACAGCTCAGATACTGATAGCGTATGTTCGATATACAGCCCGATACCGTATGTTCAGATATACAGCTCAGATACTGAATAGCCGTATGTTTCAGATATACAGCTCAGATACTGAATAGCGTATGTTCAGATATACAGCTCAGATACTGAATAGCCGTATGTTTCAGATATACAGCTCAGATCCTGAATAGCCGTATGTTTCAGATATACAGCTCAGATACTGAATAGCCGTATGTTTCAGATATACAGCTCAGATACCTGAATAGCCGTATGTTTCAGATATACAGCTCAGATACTGAATAGCCGTATGTTTCAGATATACAGCTCAGATACTGAATAGCCGTATGTTTCAGATATACAGCTCTCCAGGGTCGGCAGGTAGCTTAGTGGTTAAGAGCGTTGTGCCAGTAACAGAAAGGTCGCTGGTTCTAATCCCCGAGCCGACTAGGTGAAAAATCTGTCGATGTGCCCTTGAGCAAGGCACTTAACCCTAATTGCTCCTGTAAGTCGCTCTGGATAAGAGCGTCTGCTAAATGACTAAAATGTAAAACAAGGATTCACTGTAAAAATATCTTAAGGATGTTGAAGCAGATGAAGTGGGCCAACCAACCATTGGTTACACCCCTTTCTTCATTGGTTGAAACTAAACTTTCTCAGACTGAGATAGTGGAAGAAACATGACTTCCTGGTATCAAATCTCTCTGAGAATGTGTTTCCTGTTTAATGTAGAGTCTCTTTGTAAGGCATGTAAAGGATGCTTTTACATTTCCTTTCAGCTGTATGAAGTTGTTCCCATAGGTAAACTCCCTCAATGATAACACTGGCACTGTTTACATTAGCTACATGATCTTACAGGGGCTATGCCTGACTCACACACACTCACACACACACACACTCACTCAAACACTCTCACACACTCACACACACACACACACACACACCACACACACACTCACACACACACACTCACACACACACACACACACACACACACACACACACACACACACACAATTCACTCAAACACTCTCACACACTCACACACACACACACACACACACACCACACATTCACTCACACACACACACACACACACACACTCACACACATTCACTCAAACACTCACACACACACACACACACTCATACACACACACACACACACATTCACTTACACACACACACACACACATTCACTTACACACACACACACTCCGTAGCAGTACCTTCTTCTTGTCCTCTCCGGCAGCCTTGAGCGCCTCCAGGTTGCCGTACGTCTCCAGCTCCTGGGTCATGCTGTCTATCTTGTCCTTCAGGCTGGTCAGCTCTGTGTTGATCTTACTCTCCAGCTGCTCTACCTTCAGCAGGTCCTGGGTCAGACGGTGGTTCTCTGGGGGACGGACAAGGACGGGACACAGACATGGACACACAGGGACGGACAAGGACGGGACACAGACATGGACACACAGGACGGACGGACGGACACAGGGACGGACAAGGACGGGACACAGACATGGACACACAGGGACGGACAAGGACGGGACACAGACATGGACACACAGGGACGGACGGACGGACACACAGGGACGGACAAGGACGGGACACAGACATGGACACACAGGGACGGACAAGGACGGGACACAGACATGGACACACAGGGACGGACGGACGGACACACAAATAGACAGACGGACGTACATACACACGCACACAAAACAGATCACACAGACAGATCATTGGCATCAAGACTTGGGTATCTTTATCTATTTTATATATACAGTGAGCTTCAAAAGTATTGGGACAGCGACACATTGTTTGTTGTTTTGGCTCTGTACTCCAGCACTTTGGATTTGAAATGATCCAATGAATATGAGGTTAAAGTGCAGACTGTCAGCTATAATTTGAGAGTATTTTCATCCATATCGGGTGAACCGTTTAGAACCGTTTGTACATAGTCCCCCCACTTTAGGGGACCAAAAGTTTTGGGACAAATTCACTTATGTGTATTTAAGTAGTCAAAGGTTTTGTATTTGGTCCCATATTCCGGGCACGCAATGATTACATCAAGCTTGTGACTCTACAAACTAGTTGGATGCATTTGCTGTTTGTTTTGGTTGTGTTTCAGATAATTTTGTGCCCAATAGAAATTAATGGTAAATAATGTATTGTGTTATTTTGGAGTCACTTTTATTGGAAATAAGAATATAATATGTTTCTAATTAATGTGGATGCTACCATGATTACGGATAATCCTGAATTAAACTTGAATAATGATGAGTGAGAAGGTTCCAGACGCACAAATATCATACCCCCCCCAAAAATGCTAACTTCCCTTGTTATTGTAATGGTGAGAGGTTAGCATGTCTTGTGTGTGTGAGTGTGTGTGTGAGTGAGTGAGTGTGTGTGTGTGTGTGAGTATGTGTGTGTGTGTGAGTGTGTGTGTGAGAGTTACACAGAGTTCCATTACACTGAGTTACACAGAGTTCCATTCACTGAGTTACACAGAGTTAGATTACACTGAGTTACACAGAGTTCCATTACACTGAGTTACACAGAGTTCCATTACACTGAGTTACACAGAGTTAGATTACACTGAGTTACACGAGTTCCATTACACTGAGTTACACAGAGTTCCCATTACACTGAGTTACACAGAGTTAGATTACACTGAGTTACACAGAGTTCCATTACACCGAGTTACACAGAGTTAGATTACACTGAGTTACACAGAGTTCCATTACACTGAGTTACACAGAGTTAGATTACACTGAGTTACACAGAGTTCCATTACACTGAGTTACACAGAGTTCCATTACACTGAGTTACACAGAGTTAGATTACACTGAGTTACACAGAGTTCCATTACACTGAGTTACACAGAGTTAGATTACACTGAGTTACACAGAGTTCCATTACACTGAGTTACACAGAGTTGCATTACACAGGAGTGCATAAAAACAAGTTCACAGTAAGCTGTCACTTCAGCTCACATCTGAACTCTGATAACACTGGACAGTGGACACAATGCTAATTTGGGTGTTTCTTTTTTTCCTGTTAGAAGAATAACATTGTTGTGCTGACAGAGAGCTACTGAGCCTGGGGCCTGACCAGACCGAGCCTGGGGCCTGACCAGACAAGAGCCTGGGGCCTGACCAGACCGAGCCTGGGGCCTGACCAGACCGAGCCTGGGGCCTGACCAGACCGAGCCTGGGGCCTGACCAGACCGAGCCTGGGGCCTGACCAGACCGAGCCTGGGGCCTGACCAGACCGAGCCTGGGGCCTGACCAGACCGAGCCTGGGGCCTGACCAGACCATTGCACATAAACTCTGTCCCAAATGGCATCCTATTCTATTCCATACTCTGATTACTTAGTCAATCAACTCTAATCCATTTCCTTCATTCTATAGCTAGAGGACTCCTGATCTATCCAGGAGTGAGAAGAATAATCTTTGTCTTAATCTGTACTGTCTTTTTGCTAGCTAGGGCCATCTACTTTAAGTGCTGCCTGTATTCCCAGTAGTCTTGGCGTGTGAACTGCTGACTGCTATTAACTTGCCGATGATTGTTGACACATCAACCAGGATTAAGGTGCAATTTGTGACTCCTTGTTGTTTTGGTAATCAGTGACTGTATTAGCGGGGGAGGGGTTTCCCCTCTCCTAGGAAATCAGCAATTACTACCGGGAGGTGTGCTCTTCACCTTTCCAAGGCAATTAGCAATTACTACCGGGAGGCATGCTCTTCACCTTTCCAAGGCAATTAGCAATTACTACCGGGAGGCATGCTCTTCACCTTTCCAAGGCAATTAGCAATTACTACCGGGAGGCGTGCTCTTCACCTTTCCAAGGCAATTAGCAATTACTACCGGGAGGTGTGCTCTCCACCTTTCCAAGGCAATTAGCAATTACTACCGGAGGCGTGCTCTTCACCTTTCCAAGGCAATTAGCAATTACTACCGGGAGGCGTGCTCTTCACCTTTCCAAGGCAATTAGCAATTACTACCGGGAGGTGTGATCTTCACCTTTCCAAGGCAATTAGCAATTACTACCGGGAGGTGTGCTCTTCACCTTTCCAAGGCAATTAGCAATTACTACTGGGAGGTGTGATCTTCACCTTTCCAAGGCAATTAGCAATTACTACCGGGAGGCGTGCTCTTCACCTTTCCAAGGCAATTAGCAATTACTACCGGGAGGCGTGCTCTTCACCTTTCCAAGGCAATTAGCAATTAGTATTAGTCCTTCAGTCTCCCCTGGTTTCTCAGCAGGGAGAAAACAAAACGAAGACAGTTCTGCCGAGTTGTTCGAGGAACGCTCCACACCACTCTCTCACTTTAGTATTTTACCTAGTTATTTACAGATGATCTCATTTTCCTCTTTTGTAGCTTTGTCAACCGTGTGTTTTCTATACCTGTTGGCATCTCTCACTGTGGGCTTTACAGACGCTCCGCGCACAACCCCATGTGGAATTCCTGGTCTCTAGCAGAGTTTGGAACTGCCGATCTGAGGTCAAGAACGCCGAGTTCATCTCAGACTATGCTGCCCTTCAGGCCCTTGACGTTTTGGCCCTGACTGAGGCATGGATCACCCCAGAGAACACTGCTACTCCAGCTGCTCTCTCTTCATCTGACTATGTTTTCTCTCATAGTCCGAGAGCATCTGGTCGTCGCGGTGGGGGCACAGGGCTTCTCATTTCTCCTAAGTAGAGATGTTCTATTTTCTCCCTCTCTCACCTGTCCATCTCCTAACCTGAATTTCATTCTGTTACTGTCACTTGTCCACTCAAGCTTAGCATTGTTGTCATCGATCGCCCACCAGGTGCCCTTAGAGTTCCTCAATGAGATTGACACCTTGATAAACTAATTTCCTGATGATGGCTCACCGCTCTTTGTACTTGGTGACTTCAATCTCCCGACGTCTGCCTTCGATTCATTTCTTTCCAACTCTCTTTCCCCTCCTTTCCTCTTTTGACCTCACCCTTTCCCAGTCCCCTCCCACTCACATCTTTACTAGAGGCTGTTCACCTACTAATCTCACTGCAACCCCACCTCACTTCACTCTCTCTCTCCCACTACTCTCTCCTCTTCTGTCCAATCATCTCTCCCTTCTGCTAAATCCTTCTCCCTCCTGTCTCCTCATTCTGTCTCGTCAACCCTCCCTTTCTGTATCCCAAGACTCGCACTCTCCCCTTTCTTCCTGGCCGGCTCGGCCTTGAAAAGAAGGTTGATGACATCCGCTCCTCATTCTCTCAGCCTATTGAGTCCACTGGTCCCACTCAGACAGAACTACTGTATGCATTGACCTCTTTCTCCCCTCTCTCCAGATGAAATCCTGCTACTAGTGAGGTCCGGCCGCCCGACAACTAGACGTGCTCTTAGATCCTTCTACTGTCTTAGAGCCTTCTACTGCCTTAGAGCCTTCTGCTGCCTTAGAGCCTTCTGCTGCCTTAGAGCCTTCTGCTGCCTTAGAGCCTTCTGCTGCCTTAGAGACTTCTGCTGCCTTAGAGCCTTCTGCTGCCTTAGAGCCTTCTGCTGCCTTAGAGCCTTCTGCTGCCTTAGAGCCTTCTACTGCCTTAGAGCCTTCTACTGCCTTAGAGCCTTCTACTGCCTTAGAGCCTTCTGCTGCCTTAGAGCCTTCTGCTGCCTTAGAGCCTTCTGCTGCCTTAGAGCCTTCTACTGCCTTAGAGCCTTCTGCTGCCTTAGAGCCTTCTGCTGCCTTAGAGCCTTCTGCTGCCTTAGAGCCTTCTGCTGCCTTAGAGCCTTCTACTGCCTTAGAGCCTTCTGCTGCCTTAGAGCCTTCTACTGCCTTAGAGCCTTCTGCTGCCTTAGAGCCTTCTGCTGCCTTAGAGCCTTCTACTGCCTTAGAGCCTTCTACTGCCTTAGATCTAGCCCATTATCATCCCACCTTGAATGAAACCAGAAAGATTTATGTTGATGACAGAGCTAGAGGTCCATATAGATTAAGGGCCCAGGCTCTGGGGTAGGCTGGGGAAGGCAGGGTCTGAGGCAGGGGAAGACAATCAGGCTGGGACAGAGGAAGGATGGGGCAGGGGAAGACAATCGGGCTGGGACAGAGGAAGGATGGGGCAGGGGAAGGCAGTCGGGCTGGGACAGATGCAGGCTGGGACAGATGCGGGCTGGGACAGAGGCAGGCTGGGACAGATGCAGGCTGGGACAGGGGCTGGCTGGGACCGATGCAGGCTGGGACAGGGGCTGGCTGGGACCGATGCAGGCTGGGACAGGGGCTGGCTGGGACAGAGGCAGGCTGGGACAGATGCAGGCTGGGACAGGGGCTGGCTGGGACATCCTGGGTCTGGGACAGGGAGCTGGGCTTGGGGGCTGGGACATGAGCCTGCAGGGTCTGGAGCAGGGGGCAGAGGCTGGGGGCAGGGGGCAGGGCCCAGAGACAGGGAGCTTCGCTGGGGCAGGCAGGGTCTGAGAGCAGGAAGAGGAAGCAGTCGGGTTCCTACTGATAGCGCTGCGCCCCAGACCCAGCCAGTGGAGGAGGAGCTGCTGCTGTGGACAGAGCAGTAAAATACCCCATCAGCACTTCTGTGCATTCTCTACAGCTTCCTCCTGGGGCTAGCCTTTCTCCCTCCCCCCAGGAATCCTGCCTCTCACACACACACACACACACACACACATACATACATACTCTACAGCTTCCTCCTGGGGCTAGCCTTTCTCTTTCCCCGCAGGAATCCTGCCTCTCTCACACACACACACACACACACACACACATACTCTACAGCTTCCTCCTGGGGCAGCTCTCCCCAGGAACCCTGCCACCACAATCCAGAGGATTGTCATTAGCTGTCATTAGCAACAATATTTACACAGCATTGCTGCAGAGGGCCGCTGGTGTTGCACAGATAATAATCGGTTTAATAATTATGTAGCGAGTAGGATTATATTGTTATAAAGTTACATATTACAAAAACACCACCATGGGCTGATCATTTACCTCAAAGCCAGTGTCATTGTTTAATTTCTGTAAGATTGACTTGAGCAATTTTCACTGAGCTGGGAAGAAAGGAACAATGCTTCTCTGGCTCAGAATAGTAGGATCGAGGACATGTAGCAGCCTAGCGGGTGGCTTTGGCAGTGTGTGCATCCCAAATGGCACCCTAAACCCTACATACTGCATTATCTTTGACCAGAGCCCAAAAGTAGCACACTATTTGGGGAATAGGGTTCCATTTGGGACATAGCCAGTGTCTGTGATAAGACGTTATTTAGGGGGAACAGCGGTACGTTGATAAGACGTTATTTAGGGGGAACAGCGGTACGTCGATAAGACGTTATTTAGGGGGAACAGCGGTACGTCGATAAGACGTTATTTAGGGGGAACAGCGGTACGTTGATAAGACATTATTTAGGGGGAACAGCGGTACGTTGATAAGACGTTATTTAGGGGGAACAGCGGTACGTTGATAAGACGTTATTTAGGGGGAACAGCGGTACGTTGATAAGACGTTATTTAGGGGGAACAGCGGTACGTTGATAAGACGTTATTTAGGGGGGAAAAGCGGTACGTCGATAGACGTTATTTAGGGGGAAACAGCGGTACGTCGATAAGACGTTATTTAGGGGAACAGCGGTACGTCGATAGACTTATTTAGGGGAACAGCGGTACGTCGATAAGACTTATTTAGGGGGAACAGCGGTACGTCGATAAGACGTTATTTAGGGGGAACAGCGGTACGTCGATAAGACTTATTTAGGGGGAAAAAGCGGTACGTCGATAAGACTTATTTAGGGGGAACAGCGGTACGTCGATAAGACGTTATTTAGGGGGAACAGCGGTACGTCGATAAGACGTTATTTAGGGGGAACAGCGGTACGTCGATAAGACGTTATTTAGGGGGAACAGCGGTACGTCGATAAGACGTTATTTAGGGGGAACAGCGGTACGTCGATAAGACATTATTTAGGGGGAACAGCGGTACGTCGATAAGACGTTATTTAGGGGAACAGCGGTACGTCGATAAGACTTATTTAGGGGGAACAGCGGTACGTCGATAAGACTTATTTAGGGGGAACAGCGGTACGTCGATAAGACGTTATTTAGGGGGAACAGCGGTACGTCGATAAGACGTTATTTAGGGGAACAGCGGTACGTCGATAAGACGTTATTTAGGGGGAACAGCGGTACGTCGATAAGACGTTATTTAGGGGGAACAGCGGTACGTCGATAGAACGTTATTTAGGGGGAACAGCGGTACGTCGATAAGACGTTATTTAGGGGGAACAGCGGTACGTCGATAAGACTTATTTAGGGGGAACAGCGGTACGTCGATAAGACGTTATTTAGGGGGAACAGCGGTACGTCGATAAGACTTATTTAG